AAAGCAACGTCGGGATGTTTCTATTAAGTAACTAGCGGTTAGAACGCTGGCCTTGTAATCCTGGGGTCTCGGGTTCGATTCCCGGCGGTGCCCGAATTTATAACTTGTGTTGGGCAAGGCCGTGGTCTAGGCAACACGGAATTTTCCTCCGAGAACACTAAATAAATAATAATATAAATATATTAATATATAATGCATTAATATCTTGTTAATTGTTTTGTGTTATTTTAGGCTTTAGTTAAATAATATAGTTCATTAAATATTTTAATTATTCAGTCTATTTATATATTTACGTAGGTTTGGACGTCGAGTCATCTAATTTGCAAATGTTAAATTTATAGAACAATTTCGGTCGCGTAAATGTTTATGAAATGTGATATCAGAAGATTATAACAATCAAACACTCTGCCTAATTAAATGTTTGACACACTAAGTGTTTCTTAAAGAGACTTTTGGTAAGGATATCGAGTACTTTTTAATATTATTCACAGACACTGTTCATAAACATTATTAGAGAACATTTTTCAGTCAACTTTGCAGGCAAACATCGTTTGCCTTTGTCTATGCAGGAATTATTGAGTTTCTGATTTAATATAATCTAATTTTACATATTTATTTCTATAATTACCATTCTCCTCACTGAAGGTCCAGGAATCTAATTCTACCGGGAACGGACGTGCGTTTTCAGTAAAACCTATGGCAATGGTCCCCCCATTTGTCTTGTCATTGGTACTGCCCCTTTTCCAACGTGATTAAAATGTTGTTACTGTTTATGAAGTCTGATTTCACAAATCGATTTGATTTTTGGCAGATTGACAGGCGAGTTTATGAGGTTCTGTTTTTATTCTGTAGATTTTTTTTCTAAGATCTGAAACAGCGTGACACATGTAATCATTCATGTAGCAAATTTCCGAGTGTCATAATCGATTATACACACTGACCAGCACATAAAATTTGAACGATTACTGAAGATCCCTGTAAAATATATTTTTACCTTAAAAGTTCAACTTGAGCTATAAAACCAGTTAAATAAAATGTGTAACACCACCCTTAAAACCTGTCAAGTTTGAAACAGTGGATCAGGATAAAAGAAAACCCTTTCTGGATTGGACAGCGCAATTTTTTTTTTTAACAAAAGTAACTTATAAATTTCACATTACTGTGACATTTTGAGCTCCTAGTATCGGGTGATGTATACAAAGAGTAACATTTCCAGGGTAGGTTTTGTCTCTAAATCCATCTGTACGCGTTAACCAGACATATTCTTCATGAAGAGATTTATATTACGAAAGTAAGAACTCTTTGAAGTTCTACCACGAAAAAATATCCAGCTTTAGAACTTTCGCCTCTCACATCTGTTCCAAGATACACCATGAAAATCTCCGTCTACAAACCTTTTGTTTTTCGTATTCCTTTAACAGGCATGGAATTTTAAATTTGAAACATAAATAGATTAACATTGAGAAAATTGTATTCGGTTCACCGTGAGAGTTTGAGATATATATTCGGCCTTATAATACGTGAAATTGTTCTATTAGACTTGTCTATCGTCTACAGGCTTACCAACTAAATATGGATACCAATTGACGGCATCACCAAAGCTTCGTATATGTTAATTAGCTAGGTTACTCGCTAAATTTCGAATTCAAATTGACCCTTCCGATTGGACACTCAGTAAGTGACGAGCTATCCAACGGGAATGGCTCATTTGAATCTACAGGTTGTCGATGATGAGATGATTTGGAAGGGCATTCATAACCTACGTTCGGCACACGTCAGCGATAAAATCCCAGGGGTTAAATTCAATGTCATGGTCTCTTCCAGAATTAATGACCTCTGCCATCAGTAGGGAATTTCTGGTTTAAGAGACTTTTCACAAGGGAGGCTGTCCTCTGTCTCTCGTGAGATAACGGTGGCATTGCTACACACTGCTACTTTTAATTTGGCCAATTCATATTAATAACGACGGAATTTGCCTTGTAATTAATACTATACTAATCACACTCCACATTTGAAGCCATAATTATGCTAATGCAATTTTGATGTCATACCTTAAGACAGCCAGTTCGAGATTCGAACTGGGATTCTCCTGTCATAACCAGAAGGCTTATTATAGTACGAGGTGCGATCGGAAAGTTTCAAGACTGTGTCAATAGCTGGCGAACCGGATGTAGTACGAGCTTCTGCCGCTAGGGGGTGCGGCCTACATTCATAGTGAATCAGTGTGCCAGCAGGCATCATCGAATTAGCATTTGTTTCTTAGTTACGAGCGTTTTGGTAGTGCATTACACCGACCCTCCTGCGATTTCGGAATGGCGTGTGCATCAAATTTTGCCAAAGACTCGCCAAAACGGCTACGGAAACCTATGAAATGCTAAAGCAAGCATTTGGGGAGTCCGCAAACTTTTGTGTGGCATTCACGTTTTAAAAAGGGCCGAACCTCTGTCCATGATGACGAGCGTTCTGGACGACCATCTTCGAGCACAACGCCCGAAAAAGTTACGAAGATCGACGTCGTACCATCAACGACTTGTGCGACATTGTTGGGACCTGTCAGCTGATTCTAAAGGAAGAACTCCACATGCGACGCATCAAGACAACGCGCCAGCGCACACCGCCCTCAAAGTTCGGCAGTTTTTGGCCTCAAACACCATGGCCGTCATCCCGCAACCTCCTTAGCTCCGTGTGACTTCTTCCTCTTCCCAAAGATGAAAATTCAGCTAAAGGGAAGGAGATTTGAGACGATAGAAGAGATTCAGACAGAATCGCAGATGGTGCTTGACAGGCTGACAAAGAAAGATTTCCAGGGATGCTTCCAGGCTTGGCAGCGGCGCTGGGATCGTTGTGTTCACTCCCAGGGGAACTACTTCGAGGGTGCTGGATGAATTTAATACCTGAGATAAGTGTACGGGTTTTTATAGGCGCAGTCTAGAAACTTTCCGATCGCACCTCGTATTTACAGAATCCGTCGTTACACTACATCAAAATTGCTTGAAATGAGTTTACATTCTGGTGTGGGGAGACTACAAACGCGTCCATGATTTAATTTGGAGAACCTCAAAAGGATGAGACGCAGATGGGAGGATAATATTAGAATGGATTTCGATCAAATAAACAAGCTTCTGTTAGAAGACTTTTATCCGTTGATATAAATCGAACGTCGTGACAGGGTAATTGTTATAAAATATGTCCCGCTGTCCGTTAGATTGATGCTTCGGATTTGGGAGAATCCGGGTTTAAATCTCGGTCCAGAAACTAGCTATCTTTACTGTTTTGTTTTTTTTAAATTTTTTCCAGACTAATTCCGAAACCATGAAAACGACGACAGCAGCTTCCTTCCATATCCTTTCCAATCGATTATTTATCGTTATAATGTCAATACCTTTCTGTCTTGGCTACTAGAAAGCGTCGTTAAATAAATGAAACACATTTCCCGCAAAGTAAACATAACACTTCTCCATTGGAAAGATCAACTGGTTAATGCGTTTGGAGGCGAAGATCATATAAATAATAATTTACGAATCCAGTCCGTACCGCAAAGAAAACACAACTCTTCACCATTACGAGGATCAAATGTTTAACGCTGTTTAAGGAAGTAATCGCTCGTTACAATGAGAATCATAGTTCGTCTGATTAATATTAAAGAATTCAGTCCGTACCGCGAAGTAAACACCACACTTTACCATTACAAGGATCAAATGGTTAACGCTGTTTAAAGGAAATAATCGCTGTTTATTGTGAGAATCATAGTTCGTCTGATTAATATTAAAGAATTCAGTCCGTACCGCGAAGTAAACACCACACTTTACCATTACAAGGATCAAATGGTTAACGCTGTTTAAAGGAAATAATCGCTGTTTATTGTGAGAATCATAGTTCGTCTGATTAATATTAAAGAATTCAGTCCGTACCGCGAAGTAAACACCACACTTTACCATTACAAGGATCAAATGGTTAACGCTGTTTAAAGGAAATAATCGCTGTTTATTGTGAGAATCATAGTTCGTCTGATTAATATTAAAGAATTCAGTCCGTACCGCGAAGTAAACACCACACTTTACCATTACAAGGATCAAATGGTTAACGCTGTTTAAAGGAAATAATCGCTGTTTATTGTGAGAATCATAGTTCGTCTGATTAATATTAAAGAATTCAGTCCGTACCGCGAAGTAAACACCACACTTTACCATTACAAGGATCAAATGGTTAACGCTGTTTAAAGGAAATAATCGCTGTTTATTGTGAGAATCATAGTTCGTCTGATTAATATTAAAGAATTCAGTCCGTACCGCGAAGTAAACACCACACTTTACCATTACAAGGATCAAATGGTTAACGCTGTTTAAAGGAAATAATCGCTGTTTATTGTGAGAATCATAGTTCGTCTGATTAATATTAAAGAATTCAGTCCGTACCGCGAAGTAAACACCACACTTTACCATTACAAGGATCAAATGGTTAACGCTGTTTAAAGGAAATAATCGCTGTTTATTGTGAGAATCATAGTTCGTCTGATTAATATTAAAGAATTCAGTCCGTACCGCGAAGTAAACACCACACTTTACCATTACAAGGATCAAATGGTTAACGCTGTTTAAAGGAAATAATCGCTGTTTAAAGTGAGAATCATACGAAACACATAAATACAAAATGAAAAGTTATTTATTGTTGAAACAGATTGAACATGTAATTGTCATTTGAGTTTTAAATTGCTAGTTTCCATTTCGAATGCAGTTGTTGTATTAAAATTCAGTGTATAGGTATTTATTACACAAGAAATCTGAGTTACTGATTTAAAACGCTGAGTTTATTGGTCGGTATGAATTTGGTGGCTTTGTTTATGTATACGTAAATCGCTGCAGGTTTGTACACCACTTTCATCTTTTTACATACACACTACAGCGCTGAAACTTCTGCGCAGTCAAGGTCATGCTTTCTTTTAAAGCGACACGCCTCTGTGTGGGTTTAATGTTTTTTATGGGTTATTTTGTTTGTTTCAGGGTGAAGACAATGTTGAGTATTTCCTTGGACTGACTCCGAGTGGAATCATCGTATTACGAAACAAAAACAAAGTGGGGAATTATTACTGGTAAGCAAAGAAAGATGGCGTAACGAGGATATTGGTGAAATATTGCTATTTCCTTCTCACGTAATCCGAACCACAGGGAAGCCTCCCCTCCCCCTCCCCCCCTGTACCTCTTAGAGCAGTTTAGGGTTTCTCTGTGCTCTTGCATCTATTAATAATGTTCTCGAAGCATTTCTAGGTTATGTATGTATAATACCTCACACCTGAGTCCGCCTCGAGAAATTTATGCCATTATGAAGACATCGCAATATTCTGAGAGATAAATTCTAAGAAAAGAATTTGCATCTGCAGATTTTTATGTATCGTTATTCATAAACGCGATTCCAAGCGAGAATATGAATATGCATGACCGAAACGTCATGTTGGTAACACTTAAGAGTCTTTATCCGAATGGTTTTAAAAAATATTCTATTTACAATTATATGCAGTACGAGGTATTTCTGTATGTTATAAAATTTGAAGATGGCTGTTTTTTGGGTTGTAATGCCATATAATCTGGTAGAAGTCTACCAACATATCAGAGGTCCTTGCTGCCTCCATCCATATGAAAACCGTAAAAAATAGTTTAAGGTAACAAGGTCGAGAAAAAGGCTTCATTTCTTTTATAGTTTAGTAAAAATTATAATTCCAGGAAGAATGCAACAAAAATTAGTACCACAAGAAGAGTAGTTTACTGAAAAGCGAAACTCGTCATGATTTTTTGTTTAAAACTTTGTTTTATCTTTTGTTAAAATATATCTTTTACGTCATAGGAATTCATTTTATACCAAATAATTTTGATAACATTACGGAAACAGCTTTGTTTAAAACATAATTGATTTAAAAAGACACGCCTTTATTCAATATGTAAATTTTTAACTTGCCCATTATCTGTATTTCAATAAAATTACAGCGTTTCGGAAGCTGGATCTTCTTCCTTCTTCAGGTAAAAAAATGAAGGGATGGAATCCCTAGCTGATGGGCCCCCTGGCTGAACTATCCTTAGACCTGGACCATCTTCCGAAACTTTTTTTTATTGAAATATAGGCGATTGAAAAAGCTTTGAAGCTGAAGTTCATCTTCTTACGTAACATTTAAGAATTCAGTCCATACCTCCAAGAGAACGAAACACTTCGAGGTGTGACAAAAAAGTTCCCGGATTGGCCGCATATATTTCGCATCGTGGTAGAAAATCTGCAGATGTTAACAGAATATTGTGGTGGGTCTTCACGAGCATAAGGTACAAATTGTAACGTAAACATACAAATTAATTTTTATTTAAAAATGGTATGGACAGTGTTAAATATGTAGCTTTACCGTAGACTGAACCACGTTTTAATGAAGGTAAATTAAATTAATTTAAATTATTTTTCAGGCCGAGAATAACCAAAATATACTTCAAGGGCAGATATTTCATGCTCCGCGTTTGCGACAAGAATGTAAGTACGATCCAAAAACATTTACTTTTAGGGAATTAATAATTGAAGGGATAGAATTGTTTTTATTGATATATGATGATGCATGTATGAAGTGTCGATTATGTCATCCGTTTACTGTGGAGAATATACAAGACTCCCGATTATCCTGGGCGGAGTAACCGGTTTAAACTAAGTTTAAAAATTAATTTAGAAAATGTGTTGTAAAAATTTGAACGATTGTAAATAAAATAATAAACACAGTAGTTGACGTGTTAACTAAAAAATATTTTTTTGATAAAACCTGAAGTTTACGACAGGAAAACTTTATTACTCTCCGAGGGAATTATTTTTTTTTAAAAAAAATGGTTGGTATGTATCGTATTAAATTTTATATAAAATCCTTTCTGCTATTAGTGAATCTTTGAAAGTTTGGGTATTTAATCTCTGTAAATAAACGTACGTATCTGCTACATTTTTTTTTTAATTTTTGCGGATTATCCGTGGTTCCGATTATCCGATAAAATGTATGTCCAAACCAAACCAGATAATCGGAAGTCTTACTGTATAATACTTTTGTCATGAAACTAGTTATTTGTTGTATATTTATTATTTATTAATATATCTATTTCACGACTTCAGTAGCTCATAATATATCGTTAAAGATAGATCGATTCATCAGTAATGAATTGGACAGGGTATGGAAACAAATGACGCTGATATTCTAAGATTTTCCTGAAGGAACTAATAAATGTGTAATGAATGAATTATTTA